GTGTCTTTTTCTGCAGTATGTCTTACTTTTCTATCATCATCCATTACTGGCTTTGTATCTTCTCTATTTTTAAAACAATTTTTACATTATGGGGATTCAACTGCATTCACCATTCCAAATGTAGCAATATCACAGGCGTATGAACTAGAGTCTCATTATTTTAACACTATCACCTGGGAAAAGTTGGGTGTGTTTTATGTGCCAGTGGAAGATAGATTCAAAAGGCACAGGCAACCTCATTTTCAAGTGGCAAATCACACATACTTAACTCGGAAGTGTAGGAGCAAAGCTCTGAGTATTCTCAGCATGTCCAAAATACTGCAGTTTTATTCAACCATGGGCTAAGAAACACAAGAGCAAGCAGTCCTTGCTAAATTAATAAATAACAATGAGAACATCAGTCTGAAAGCAAGATCTCATAACAGAAACTATTAACAAAAACTTTACTCTAGGTGACAGTGATTCCCTTTTACATAAATCAATATAAAACTAAAATTTAAATAAAGGAGCATATTTCCTGCAAAAAAGGCCAAAAGCTCCAATAATAATAAATATTAGGAAAGGTCTAGATAGAGTTTATTGTACCAAATTGTTGGCATATTTTAGAATTTTCCTAGATTTTAATTTTTAAAAAAATCTGACAATCTATTAACTGCTGTTCTGAAGATTCAACCATCCAGTCATTTGAGGGTCTATTTCCACAGCATTTACCACTAAATTATTTGAGCACTTGCCAATCATTAATAAGTATAGCCCCTAGAAATGCCTTCTGACACAGGGAAACATTTTTATCTCCATTTTAACGGGCAAGGAGGCATAGAAAAACTGAGCCACACAAGAACATTTGAAAAAATGTCAACAAAGCCAAGCCATAAATTGAACCTAAATCTCCTGAGCTGCTGTTCTGTATCTTCAAAGCAATATTCTTAATAAAAGATCAGACAAGGTAGCTGCAGTTGAAAAGCCTAAGGAACCACTCATTATATGCAGATAAGATTTATCTTCTTGTATCAGGAGATGCTATGCTGTATTGCCACTGAAATGACTACAGCTAACTACAGAGATCATGACAAAATGGATCCCTAAGGAATAAAAGAGATATGATAGAATAGCCATCATGACAAAAATACAGCTTTGAAAGGGTACTTGCCTATATTTTAAAGAATTAAAGTAAAATGAAATAATGGTTATGACAGTGTAGTAGTTTCCACATTATTGATGTGATAGACTTCAGGAAAAAGACATCAAAATCAGTCTGGAAAAGGAAGGCTCTTATGAGATAGAGTTGGAGTCTACTATGGGCCACCAGATATGGTGACAAACAGGCAGAGCTCTACAGTGTTACAAGTGATAAATATGTGTCAAGACAGTGTATTATTAGAGAAGACTTCAACTTCCCAAACACAGAGAACAAATACTACTGATAGCTGTTGGTTGTGGCTACTTCCAGACATGAGTGATGGGTGTACCTTCACCAAGTAGCCAATGAACCCATACTGCTGTGGTTGAGTTTTGTTTTCCATTCAGTTTTCCATAATAGATCTGGTAAGATCTGATCTGCATGATCATGGTCTGACCCACTTTAGATTAAATTAAATGACATAGAGAAATAAGTTCTCTATTGTAGAAAATAAATTTTTAAAAAATTCAGAGAACTAGAGAGTTTAAGAGTTTGGAATTCCTTCAAGTGCTCATCAAATATATTAGTAAAGGAAACAGAAAGTTCATTGCATGTGTATTGCATATGATACTAAGATTAAAGATCCTCCAAGTATAACTATAAATAAATTACTATTTGGTTCACTTTTCATCAGAAACAATGACTATACAGTCAAGGGTAGGATTATTAGAGGTAAAAAGGATACAGAACAAGAATCATCAAAATTAGATAGAGGTGGAACTACAAAGATCTTGCAGCAGAGTAGACAGTCTATATCCTAGTACACATGCTACAGAAGACCAGAATGAGCGTTATTTGCATTTATGGAAGAAAAGGGGAGAACTTTCTCAAACTACTCAGCCAGTCAGACCTCTAGTCTGACTTCAATACTATACAAAGTTTTAGGACAAATATGGAATAAAAGACACCATAAACTTCAATGTGCTTGAAAATGGGAGAAAACACAATGTGGAGTTATGAGAAATAGATTGTGCCCAGCTAACCTGAATCTTTCTTTCCATAAGTCATCTAAACTTTTTGGCAAACTATCTAGACCAAGTCCACATGGGACTCAGTAAAGCATATGACAGAGTCCAGCATAGGAAACTATTAGTTAAGCAGTAAATGCTGACAATTTGTACCAGAGTTAACAGATGGGTAACAGATATGTTAAAGGGAACATAAGGAGTAACGTTGAAAAGAAAACATTAGGATAAAGGAGGCTACTGAGGGAGTTCATCTGTGATCAGCCATGTGACCATTCCTGTTTAAAATCATCACCAACAACTTAGCCACAGTAATTAGGAAGTGGTTAAAAAAATTAACGACATGAAGTTGGACAGCACACTTAATAGACAACTGACATACTGAACTAAATAATAGAAATTGCCTAAATGTCTGTGAATGGCCATGTAAAAACATCCATCTCTCCACTTGGATTATATGGGTAAACTTGCATCTCAGGTTAAATGTTGGAGAATGGCTCAGAGACAAGGGCCCTGAGCCCACCGAGCAATTGTACGATCAGAGCCTGTTCTAAGGGCTGATGCTGCCTTGCTGATGCTGGGCCTCACTAAGGTTTGCCTGCAGCCGCTCGCAGCTGCTGATACATGAAGAATGTCAAGGATGCTTCGGCCTTGTGTACCATGGTGTGTTGAAAACAGGCTGAGAGGAATTGGGAATAGTGGTCTGAGTAACCCAGTGTTATGGTAACGGTGGTCTGAGAAACATTGTGTTATGGTACTGTTGTGTATCGAAAACAAGTCAAGAGGAATTAGAAATAGTAAAATGAGAAACTTAGTGTTATGAGAAGCTTGTGCTGTTAGCTAACTGCAAGTAGGTGGACTGTGCGAATACAACCTTTAGAGCTTAAGCCAATCAGCTAGTGACTAATAGGCATAATAATTATCATTGTCTGTATAAATATAAGTACCCTGGACCAATAAACACACAGGTAGATTGATGTTCTATCACCCACATTGAACCCGTCTCGGCGTGTCGTTCTTCCGCGGCTCCGCAGTTAAATACTTAGGGTAGGTGGATACTTACAAGAGAGACCATGACACCATCTGATGCAGCTGGAAGAAGGGCACACGTCAAGGTATTTCCAGCAAGGAAAGAATCAGGGTCAGTTTAATGTCAGCATAGGAGGCTGGGATGAGACCTCCTGTGGAGCTCTTTGCAGCCTGGATCATCACCTTACCTTTCTGTTCAGCCAAGCCCAGGAAAGGTGGATTCAAGCTGGGAGAGTGGCTGATGATCCCAAGCACAATGGTTAGAGGAATGGTCTATCACCAGTGAAGTGCCAAAATGAATTTGGCTAATTTAACTAGGAAAAAAGGTGCTGAGAGAGGACAGGGAAGAGCATCAGACATGGTCACTGACAGTGTCAGTCTCAGACGAAATAGCAATAAAATGATCAGAAATAATTTCTGTGTGGAAATTAGAAGATAACTACGTATCCCAGGAACAACACATTCTACGAGGGTACTCCTAGTAAAGTTTACAGTAGATGTCATTGCAAAAAGAAAAAAAAAAAAGAAAATAAATCAAGAAACTCTCTATAAACAAACAACCCTCCAAAGGGCTGCAACTCAATGCAAAATCGATTTATGGTTTCTTATGAGTTAGCTTTCCACAGCACGAGACTAGACTAGACTTAGCCTTCCCATTCAGTTTTTTGTTTATTATTATAAAAAGATACTTTTCCTTTTGAAAACAGTTGTAACAAGGAAATAATTGACATTGCAAGAATAAAACATATTTATATCTATCCTATCCAGTTACGTCCTAAGATAGCCCAGATCTAAGAAAGATGATTTTCAATCAGCAGAATTAAAGTTAGGGTCCATGTATTGCTACAGACAGACACATTTATATTAAATTCTTGAAATAGATATAGAAACTGTATTTAATGGCATCATTTCATTTCACATAAGCAATTTCCTTGTAAGTAAAATCTAACAATATTTCAGTGTGTGGAACAATATTACTTTGCATATAAATGCAGACATCAGTACTGATCAATGTAATTTAAAATCTAAAGGAAGTGCTGTTGTACTGCATTTCCTCAGTTTGTAAATCTGTCTACCACTTCTTGTAAAACACCACCTGCACCAGAGAAGAGCTTGACCATTTGCCTGTCAAATATTCCACCTCCTCCTAAACGACAGTATCCAAAAAAAAGACTGTGAAACTCAAACATACGGGAAAGGGCTCATTAATGAAAATGGCAAGAGTTTACAATATTTTTAGGGATGAAAAATTAAATTTGCATTTAAAATATGAGCAGGCAATGCAGAATGTAACAACAGATCTTTTTTGGAGTGACTAGGGGACATGGAAAACACAACCCACTGCTATTCCAAATAACTGATGAAGGGCAGCTTTCTCACCATGTCTTTAGTTTTTTCTTTTTTTGACCAATAAGGGCCACAGCCTCTCTGCCCACAACAGGGAGAACTCCCCCAGCATGGTTTTCTGCTGCTTACCCTTCTCTACAGAGGTACGCTTTTCTGCCACATTTGTTACCTTCTTTGCAAATCAATAATATATTCAGAAATTGCTATATCTGGGCTAATACACTGTATTCTGTTTCTGTATTATCCTTCAAATCTGAACACTCCCAAAATTTTCCAGATCATCTGCTCACATGTTCATGTGAAAGGAAAGTAATATTTCTTTTCACACATCTGCAGTGACACTCTCATCATTTCAATATTTGATTAAAAACTTCTCTGCTAGCATGCAAGAGCGTTATGGCCTATTCCAAGCTTTCCAGTAACAGTTCTTTTTGTTTCCTGTCCTATTTCCTAAGCTCTACAGGCACACCACCACAATATGAAGTTTTAACATGTTTAATGAATTCTATTCCTTATTTTTAACACACACTGTCATTTTTCATCCTTTGCAAAGAAGAACACAAATATTAATATCCTCCTCCACTTGATATACAGAGCTTTTGGAACACAAATGTTAGATTTCCCAATATGCATGTGTACTTCCACAAAGGCAAACACATACACTTTTAATCATGAGTGTACATTGAAAAAAAAAAAAAGGCAAACAAACTTCAAATTCCTCTTTTTTCCACTGGAAAACTTTACAAACGATACTTCCGGAGGAATTATAATGAATGCTTGTAGTAACAGACGTAAGCCTCACAGGAAAAACCCATCAGAATGTGCTCCAGCCTATGTATACTGAAAATAAGTCTTGCGGTATCAAGGAGATCAATTTATATTTTGTTCATTACTAAGCATATAGAATTGATGTCACATGAGGGTACGATATTCTAAAGAGTATCTCACTTCTAAAGATAAATATAAAAAAGTGGAAGTAGTCACACAGTTGCAAAATGGACAAGGCTGTATTTTGAAGCCACTTCTGTCCCACATTTGACTGAAGTGGAAAGTCTTTTTCCACTACAACTGAAGTTTTATCATGTATTACTGAGGGGAAAAAAAAAAAAAAAAAAAAAAAGCATAGAGGAAGTTTTGGTTCCAATACATGACTTACAGCTCTCATTTGCAAGTTTATGCACTGCATGCACAGCACAGTATGCCCAATTAAACATTGATCTGGGTTCTGAAAGCAAATTAAATACTTCCAGATTCTGATCCTAACATGACTTTAACTATTGTGATCTCTTCTGATAAGGTAACACTCCATAAAATGTGTTCATGCTCCTAACAGGCTTGCTAGATCCTCACAAACAGGGAAACCCAGTAGTAAGTGACAATACAAAGAAAATTGACTAATTTATAGCACACAGGAGGAAATCTTGTCCTCACAGAAGCCAGCAGCAAATTCCAACTGATGTTGGCAGGTAAAGAACTGTATCCAATGTTTCTTCCATTGTAAAGAATACACCCAAAAGAGAAAAGTCTTTTCTAATCTTTCAGAGATGAACTATCTGTGTTTCTTTTACCACTAATGGTAACAGAAAAATTTGTATTAAAATCACCAGCGAGACATCAGTTCTCTCTTCCTTAATTTTATAAAGCAGATGATGATTATGAGAAGGATAAGGGAGACTTTTTAGTGTTTCAATTTACTGTTCATTAGGTATCCTGAGAACAACACAGGAAAGGTGCTTTTTTAGTGCCAAGTTGTTTGGGTTTTCTCCTTTTTTTCCCTAAAGCTGCAGACAAAACACAGAACATGGACGTGACTAGTACTTTTAACAATAGTATAAACCTTCACATAGTTTCCAGAGAAGACTTGCAAAAAGAAAAAACAAAAAAAAAGGCCAATTTGTCTTTTCGATACAACCAAGCAATCACATGGATGAGAAAGATTCACGCACATACCTATTTTAAAGTATTCCCAAAGGATGCATTCTGTTTCTGTCATGCTCTGTACAACTCCTCTGAAGTCAGGAATACAGATCCTGGCTCTGCACTTCCAAAACGCAGCCACGAATACACCTCCTTCGATTACTGTCAGTTCAGGCATGCAATGATCTTATGAGCAGGTAAGATCAAAGATCAAATGTCTTTGTTGGCAGCACACAATGGAGAAAGTAGTTTTGCAAGTAATCCTAAGGCTGGATGCTATCCCATGATGTGTAGTTGCTGCCTTTTCTACCCATGAGGCTTTCCTTTTCTTTATTGGATTAGGGTGCATACTGTAGTCATATTCTTACTTCATGTCCTTCACCTGAGGAGCTGGAGGCAAAAGTCCCATTGATTTAAGACCTGAGGGTGAATTAGTAATCCCAGTGCCTCAGGAACTCATTTAGAAATTGAGACTATAGGGTCTCTAAGGCAAAAAGAGAAAGGAACACAAAACACACTGAATTCGTATTATGTATACTCCAGAAGGTCCTTTCTGTTCTTTATTTTCTCTTGTAAGTTGACTTTACACTTTGTAACCAACAGGGTAAATTAATTATCCCAAAGGATCCAAACAAGTCCAAATGCATTATCAGGTGAATTGATGTTGGAAAGTCTCTGGGGCTCCAATATCCACCACAATCCCCAAAAGGAAAGGTAATACGATGCCACTTGTTGTTACTTGGGTCATTTTTTAAGACAAAGACAATGCCTAACTGCCTCACTTAGCTTCTTGGCAATCTTTTCCAGCTTTTTTTCAAGAGAACATCACTAGACATTCAAGAATATTCACCAGTTATATTCAGAAAACAGGATGATCTCTTGGAGACTTCTCTAAAAACAATTAGCAGTAATAAAACTGTTATGCATCATGTTTAACATCATATACCACTTGACACTTTACAGTTCTTTGTGCACACATGAACGGATTGTTCTGTAGAATATCCTCACAAAGACGGCATATCCTGTTACAAGAAATGATGAAACCTGCAACAAACCTTCATACCCGGTGAAACTCCATTGAATCAAAGTGTCTGCTCAGTAGAATGGAAGAAGTCACTGTTAGAAACATGGTTTAGGAATGCTTTTCTCTGGTGTCTCAGACGGTCTGATTAGTTAAAAACTACTGCATAATGCCTAAGTGGGTTTGGAAACACTAGCCTTGTACTCTGCAAATCATATATATTTAAAGTGCATATGTAGTAACATTACTACAAATATATATTAATGTAAATAATAACGAAAGATGGAACTAGGCAGATTCTGAGAGCAGTACAGGAGTAGAGCACCCTTTGAGATTGTTCTTGACTAAAGGAACTTCCTTAACTGAGGTGGCAATGCCACCTTTCCCTTCACACTCACTCCCCAAGGCTGTCCACTTTCTCATCCACCTTCTGTCTGCAGCTTCCCAGCTTGCCAACAGCTGAAGTTTTAACTCAGGCCGATATGGCAAAACCAAAGGAGACTGTGGGGCACACAAGGAAACAAAGCAAATTTTAACACGTTTCCCAGACTGATGAAAGGACTTAGAAAAACCAGCTCACATTCCCTACAAAATTCAGCACCTTTCCTAAACCTTAGACCCTCCTGGGTACTTTGCTTCTATGTTGTCACTAGAAGAATAGGACTGCTATTCTCCTAAGTGTCCATATTTCCAAGAGACACCCACAATTTTATTTCTGTTCTCCTCTATAGATCTATTCTGGCTCGTACCCTTATGTGTATGAACAAAGTGACACTACAGCTCGATACACACACTGCAGACCCCCTCAAACACTTTCCTGTTCCTGCATGAAACAAGCCTTTGCAAGGCCATGGCTGCTGCAAAGGCAGGAAACCTCAGTGCAGACAGCTCCCAGTTCTGATGGATTTCCCCGTAGGGGCTGGCAGGCTACTTGCCCTGTTCTTAAAGAGTTCCTGTAAGGATTGTGCTAGAGAAGTAGAAGACGTTTTCTGTCAAACATCCTTTTCTGGAGACTCCACCAGAGCCTGTGGATGATCAGGCTCATGCACTTACTTACCCATGCATTTTAACTTAATAGAAACACCAAAAACTCTTTTATAGCAAGTTCTGTTTTGGAGTCCAAACCCTCAGGTGTGCACAGAGCTAGGTAAGAAAGTTGCTTCCCCATCACAAAACCAGGTGCAGGTGCTCACGGAGCAGGGGACAAAGACCACTTTTCCTCCTCCCAGTAAATCTGTATCTTCCATAGGCAAACATGGAAGACCATCAACTACCAGCATACACTAAATTGTGCATGACTAGAATCTTCTTGTGTATTGGTGTACACAGTGTATGGCTTATAAAATATTTCTGTAATGAGAACAGGACATCTGTGAAAATGCTGCTCAGCCCAAAGCACAGCAAAACATGCAACAGTGAGCACCCAACTGCAGGCAGTATGTCATCCTGAAGACCTGCAAGGAGAACGATGTTTTCAGCATAACACTTACACTAAGCCATCTTCCCGAGGACCCTACTCAACCCCCTTGTACACAATAGATTTTTCTTGCTTGAAGCAGCATATGTTTGCAAGAACAATGCTGTAGCATCTAATCCCACATACCAGGCAGGCTGGGAAAGCAGAGTCTTCCTCCCGCCGCCCCTGAGGCCATCAGGTAGAGGGGCTTGTAGGGAGGCAAACACTAGGAACTGCTCTCTTCGCATTTACACACGTATCAAAAATATAATTTCCAGATGTATTTCAGTTACATGAAATCAAATCTTGACTTCTTTTACAAGTCTCCAATACATCAACTATTTGCCCATTTGGATGACCTGGACACTCGTTCATTAACATGAACTGCAAGAAATAATCCACTCTGAAGTTATTCATGCAGTAGTATGATTTGTCTTTAGTGGAGTCATGATACAGCTGGATGCAATCCAAAAGGGGCTTCACTCTGCAAATAACGTATAGAGAAATATGTTACAGCATTCAGGAAATACAGAGTCTGAAAGATACTTGCTTCATCAGAGGAATCCTCCGCATTACTGAAAGACACTTAAAATGTTAAGCTAATGATTCCAGACTTCATTTCCGAGGAAAGAAACAGCAGTGAGTTTTTCATCACTTCTGTATGGAGCAGCTTGCTGAGGTGTATGTCTCCACTACAATATTAATAGCATACCACAAAATACTACCATAAAATAGCAAGTCTTTGAAAATAAATTTTAAAAAGCAGAGAATCAGTAAAGCTCAATTGCAAATTATACGAGTGCCGTGAACAAAACCAAATTTGCATTTTACCAACCCTTCTTTTCTTTCTTTATTTCACCAAGACATAATAATTGGATGTTCAAAATGCTACAGATGTGAAATAAAACTACCAGTTCTCCTCCTTAAAATAAAAGGTTAAGCTTGTGATTATACAACTCCGGCATATCATTTTGTGCAATTACTAATTAACCATGATCCCTGATCGGAGAATGCAGAAGTAGTGATTTTCTTCCTCAGAAGCTGCGCCTGTTTTAAGTCAAGTTCTGCTAAGGAGGGAGGAAAAAACCCACAGGCACGCAAGCATGTACGCGTGGGGCGGCATCAAACGGAAAAAAAACGCTTCTTCGGAGGAAACCATCCCGCAACGCGGATTTCGGCACGCCTTGCTGTTCCACCCAGGACGGGGGGCCCCGCAACGCGCCCTCCCGGCGGCGGGGCGCGGACGACGGCACCGGCGTTTTGGGGGATGCAGGAAAAACAAAGCCGCCGCCGCTGCCGCCCCCCACCCACGGAGCTCCCTCCCGCCGGGGCTGCCCCACGCAGCCGCCGCGGGCGCGGGGGCTGCCAGCGGGGTCGCGTCGCCCCCCGTCCCGCGGCGCCGCGCCGCCACTCACCGCGCCGTGCCGTGCCGTGCCGTGGCATGGCGTGGCGTGGCGCGCCTCGCCGTGCCGTACCGTGCCGTGCCTCGCCGTGGCGTGGCGCGCCGTGCCGTGCCGCGCCGTGCCGTGCCGTGCCGCGCCGCGCCGCGCCGTGCCGTGCCGTGCCGTGCCGGTGCGCGGACGCGGCGCGGCGGCCGCAGGTGCCGCGGCGGAGGAAGCGGGGGCGGGCGGCGCTGGCGAGCCAACCGGGGCCCGGCGCGGCGCCGTGAGTCACCAGCGGCCGCGCAGGGCGGCCGGGCGGCTGATATAAGAGCGCCGCGGGGACACCCTCCCTCCCTCCTTCCCCGTCTGGCTCCTGTCCTCCTCGCTTCTCCGGCTGCCTCGCCCTGCCCGAAATTTTTCCTTCCCTGCTTCTCCTTCCCCCCCCCCCTCCTCCGTCCCCGGCGATGCGGTCTGACCGGCAGCGCGGAAACCGGGGCGCCAGCTGCGGCCCCGGGTGCGGTGCGGGGCGGCGGGCGGTCCCGTGGTGCTGGGCGCTCTGCTTGCTGTTCGCCTGCAGCTGCCTGCGCGCCGACGGTGAGTGCGGGGCCTGGGGTCGGGGGGGGGCCTGGGGCGCGCACCGCTGGGGCTGCTCCCGCCGCCGCCCCCCGTAATAATTTCTTCTCCCACCACCTTTTCCCCACCTGACACTCCCCCCTTTTTTTTCTTTATTTTTCTCTTTTTTTTTCTTTATTTTTCTCTTTTTTTTTTTCTTTATTTTTCTCTTTTTTTTTTTCTTTATTTTTCTCTTTTTTTTTTCTTTATTTTTCTCTTTTTTTTTTCTTTATTTTTCTCTTTTTTTTTTCTTTATTTTTCTCTTTTTTTTTTTTTTATTTTTCTCTCTTTTTTTTTTTAATTTATTTTTCTCTCTGTTTTTTTCCACACCCCCCCCCCCCACACCCCCCCCCCCCCTTCTTTTTTTCGGTCTCTCAGGCTGCCTGCTGAGCGAGCGCGGCCGCGGGGAGGGGTCGGAGGCCTCCCAGGCTCCCGGGGGGACATGGCGGGGCGCTACCGCCGGGGTCTGCCCCTCCGCCTCCCGTGTCGGGGGAGGCGCCGCCTTCCCCGCCGGGCCCCAGCCGGCGCGCATGACCGGCGGCCTGAGCCCCTCCTGCCCGGCCGGCCCCCCCTCGCCGCCGCCCCGAGGGGGACCCGTCCCGGGAGTGACCCGGGTGCCGCGGGTGGGGGTTTCCTGCTCGATGCCTAGTGCCGCGGGGAGGGTCTGCGCGCCCGGGGGTGGGCGTGAGGGTGGGGGGGTGTTGGGGAGGATGGGCGCTTGGGGGGGGGTGGGGGTTCTTGTGGCGGATGAGCGCTTGTTAGAGGGAGGAAGAAAGAGGAGCCTTAGGAGAGCCTGCGGCGTTAAAGGTGCTGTCAAACTACTGTGCAAGTTCGGCTTTGTGGCATCCAGCGGCCGCGGCGTGGCTGTAGCTCCGGGCCGGGGCGGCCGCCGCAGGGGATCTCCACCTGGTGGCAAGGCGGGGAGCGTCCAGCGCCGGAGCCCTCCCCGCGGGCTGGGCTCGCCGGCAGCGCTGCCCGTGGTGAGCTCCAGCGTTGCCTCCCATCGTAGAGGCTGTTACCCCTGAGGCGGAGGGACCTGCGCATTAAGCCAGTTGCGCGGTCGATTAAAAATATTTTCCTCTGGAGTGGAGGTAGCAGTCAGTTGGCTGACTCCTTTATTCCTTCAGGAACCGAGGTCCAGGCTACTCTTCTAGGTGGGAGGTGGGCAACTGATGTCTGCATTGTTGTATGGCTCTTAATCTCCTGACTAGTGCCCTAAAGTAGGCCCAAGAGTCAGATCTTGGCTATGTTGGTGAAGTATGCTAAAACGTAGTTGGATCTGGTAGTTTAGACACTGCATCTGCCAGGTAGAGCCCATCCAGGGGATTGTTGCATCCAGTCCTCATACAAGGAAGAAGAGGGGAAATGTCTGCTTAGTCACTCCTCAATTCCCAGTCACGTAGATTGATCTCATGTCCAGTCCACAACAGACAGGATTAAACAGCTGTAATATGAAGGACCAAGCTGGCTGGCACTGAAACTCCTAGTGCACTGTAGTCAGAAATCACAACAAGAGATACACAGTGGAGGGCAACCATAGTCCACCAAATTAGCCTGATTCTTCCCTAAATTTGAGTTCATGACCCCACTAGCTCTCTCCTACGAGTAGTTGCAATTACCAGGGTCTGGGGGGAGTCTAAGCTAGTTCCTGTATGAGCTCTCTCAAGGTTTCCCAATCACTGTTGCAAGCTTTTCTGGGACTTGGTGTCAGATGACAGCACACAAGTGTCACATGCTTGAGGCTGCCCAGACAAGTAATCTGACAACTTGCTTAAGGGGCTGAGACAAACAGTGACAGCAGAGGTATGGAGAAAGCTAGTTTGACTTGGATAGTCAATGTAACTGTGGGCTTTTCACCCTGAACACACTGCTGCTTACGAGCCAACTTTTAGTAAGTAGTTACCTGGGGACCAGTGAAATAATATGTGTTAGCAACTACAGGCTGTGAAGTTACTGGTTCTCTGTTGCCCAAGACTTATCCCAAGGAGAAGAAAAGGTGTGAAGATGCTTCTGGTGTATGAGTAGCACATAAAGAGAAGCTTTGACTTAGTGGCTACTTGATGCTGATCTAAAAATCATTGTGTAGTGACTGAAGCTGCAACTGAGCTATGACTCTGATTCAAACAGGAATGGACTAGGCTGGTAGTGTCATGACTATATGGTTACCTGGCATTGCAGAGCTGTGGTTGGTGCAAGACAGGGGACCACAGTTGGCTACTGGCTGAAGATAACCTTCATCTTAGCTGGAGCTCACTCCAAGTGGCCTTTAGAGTTTGACAGACATCTTCAGGAGTAGCAACAGATAATTTCTACATTTGTGCACCTGTGTGGCTCTTAGGTGCTGTTGGTTCTTTACTTGTTTGTGGGCTAACAAAAGTAGTTGCTCTGGCATTTCACTTGGTATCAGTTGCAGAAGTGATGATACCTTCTTGGAATGGCTTGTTTTAAGGGTTGTAATTGTAAAGTTATAGCTGTTACTGCAAGCTCAGTTACTGTTTCATTTAGCCTTGTGTGTAGCTGTCCTGTAGCACTTGGTCAAAGTGATGTTATGTTTGTAAATCACAGTGTGCTGGGCAGGTTTAGCAAGCCTTTTCTGGTTATTCTAGCTTGAAATAGAGTAACTAAGAACTGTAGAGTTATTTTGGGATCTCCTGAGTGGCAGGCTTAGTTTAATATCTCTACTATGCTATTTTGGGAAAGGTTGACTGTTCTCACTCTGAAAGTCTGGATGGCAATGTCTCAGCTCTTAGGAGTTGTTGCATATTTTAGGTGGTAGTACAGTAATAACTGGAATAATGTGTGGCCAGGGCTTGCAAGCAGAAGGCCACTTCTGTTAGAGTTTACTGGATGACAAGGTGATGTCAGGCTTGGGGCAATCTCAATTTTCATTTCTCAAAGCTGTGGCTTCTGCACCCTCTCTAAGCTGGCTGGGGTGTGCCTTCTAACACAAGGCAAGCAACTTGTTTGACAGCTCTTGACCAAATAGTAGTAGCTTTACAAAACCATGGTATTAGAAGGTTAATGCTGGTGTAACTCCCATCCTAAAAAGGAAAGGAGGGATGGAAATACAGAGCACAAGAGCTGTTTTAGCACTTTGAACACAGTTCCCATGAAACAAGTTGTTATGGCTTTACTCTACCTGACAAGTTAGTGTTTTACTCAGCCAGTAAGACAGCTAAAGCATTAGCAGAGCTCAGTAAGTTGCTGCTTCAGATACTTTACTTCTAGCATGAATTCACATGAGACACTCAGCAGGTAAAATTGCCCAGGTTGTTCTTGCCCTTACTCTGTCCAGGGTCTGCCATTGCATTATGGCTGGCCAATATAATGTGAAATGGATGAATAGCTTCCTTCCAGTTGGAAACTGTCTTTCATTTTACATGTCATACACAGAAGATATCAAATAACAAGTAATGTTCTTCTAAAATTTGATGCCTTTTGTGAGCCCTGGAATGCCAAGACAAAGCACCTCCACTAAATGATGCAATAAACCAAGGAGGAGCGGAAGTCTTGCATCGTGTTGTAGATATGTGCAGCCAATACTAATGTACAAGCTTACACACTTGTCTGCACGTGTTACATGGAACAGCTCTGGCTCAGCTACTGAAGAAGCAAGCTGCTGCTTTTGGTGACAGTTATAACACAGCTTCAAGACAAAGTAGGTTCACTTGAGGGACAGGGTCATACGGTTTTAGAGCTGAAGATACTCTGGAAGATGCACTCTTAAGTACCGTGCAGAAAGTAGTACTTTCCTCAAGCATGTTAACAAATCAAGACTGTTATCAGTTGGGAGACAACAGACTTGTTTCCAGAAGGAAGTGATAAATTATCTTGCTCTCTTAGCATCACACTTGATTTAGCTTTAATAAGCAAGATCCAGATAAATAATCATGCTTCATTTTGTGTATACTAAGGAATGTTTCTGGATGCCCTTGTTTGACGAGTAACTTAAATCATGAAAAGTTGTTCAACTACAGAGCAGATGTCTGTAAAGATCGCTTAGATATCTTGGATTTTGCTGTAATGTGTTAACAGCAGACTACTGAAATGCTAATCCAGTTTGACATTATCCAAGTTTAAACCCTGCTTGCTTGAAGTTTGAAGAGTGTTGCGAATGCAGTGCTAGGCACTAGACAGCAGAAGTCATTGTGTGTATGCATCCTTCTGCCTTACAAACGTGACCCTGCCTTGAGAAGGAGGACTTATTAAGAACTGAGGCTGGTTTACTGTTGTCTGGCAGATGGGCAGTCATAGTGCTTAAACTCTGCGCTTGTACTGTGAAGGAAAGCTTCTGGCTCTACTTTCTTGATTGAATAAGGTGAATACAAGGATTTGGAGCTCAGATCTGGTTTCATGCTGATGTTGTGCTATATATTAAGCTGGATAAGCTTGATCAGCAGTAGAGGTAAGTAAGAAAGTATTGCTAAACAGTATTGGAACTTAGGTTCCTTTTTTCATTGAAGGTGCAAGAACAAAATGTGAAGAATCCCAATTCCCATGTAGTAATGGACGCTGTATTCCTTTACTCTGGAAATGTGATGGTGATGAAGACTGCTCTGATGGCAGTGATGAGAGTGCTTGTGGTAAGTAATCAGAATAAATAATACCTCTGTAGTAGTACTTGCTAGTTGGCAGTGGGGGCTTAACAGTGGATAGCTGGAGAGATCCTTTTCCTGTCCAGCACTTCTGACAGAATGCAGAGTAGAGGACAAAATCCCTGGAACAACTGTCGGACTATCTTGATGCCTTATATCCATCCAAGGCAGCTGAATTTTGTTGAGTGCTATGAAAGTCTCCTGGAATTGGTGACTGAAGAAGGCTTGCAACCAAAACTCTTTATTTGTGAGGATAGTGACTGTCAAGAACAGAATGCAAGCCTGTTCTCAATTCTTCCTTGAAAACATAGTAGAAACTGTTTGTTATTAGCACTTAGCTGTTAGCTATTCCATGGTTAAATGCCCTGTTTTATGTGTGAAAGTGATTCTGCCAAGTCTCCTATAAACACTAAGTCTAGCTTTGGCTGCCAGCCCTTGCTTTAAGCAGACATAGAGGCCAAGATGGATGACTAGGTGTTCTTAGAGATGAGGCGAAATGGACTCAACATCCAGTGCTGGTGTGGTTGAACTGCTGGTCTGTTCAAGCAGATCTAAGCTGTTACCTAAGGGTTGCATAGTACTGTGCTTCTGTAATGACAAATCAAATCCATTGATAATAAATGCAGAGTTCAGAATCTGAATATTAATATCAATAGACCTTACTTTAACTCAAGTGTATTCAAAGCAGCAGCTATCTAGCAGCAGAGTCTCCTTTAACGGCAACGGTGCCTGGTTACAGGAAGTTAATTGATTCTCTGTGCACTGTATAGCTCTCTAGGAAGTGTTCAACAGCATTAGCGTTAGACTGGTGAAAGATGATAGCAGCCGTCCAAGAACTAAGGATGTTGTGTCACTTTCCTAGGGCAAGGCAGCTTATCTCTATCTGCAACAAAAAAGCTAGGCTCTGGTTTCTAAACAAGTGCCTGTCCTTTTCTCCTGCAGTGAAGAAGACGTGTGCCGAGACTGATTTTGTGTGCGTCAGTGGTCAGTGTGTGCCTAACAGATGGCAGTGTGATGGGGATCCGGACTGCGAGGATGGGTCTGACGAGAGTGCTGAACTGTGCCGTAAGTGAGCCTGGCTTGTTGGTGCAGGCAAGCTTGAGGGGAGTAGCATTCTGACTTCTTGCCTGCTTGCAGCCCAGCTCTCCTAAAGGAAGGATGAACTTGTCTTGGAGAGCAATTTCTTAAGTGCTAGCTTGGCTTTGGCCACATCAGGGTCTTGACTTTTTACTACTTAAAAAGATGCAGAACTGAGCGGAGAGTCTGTACCTGTACTTGCTATCAGTTACCAAGTACAAGACTACTGGCAGTCAGAAGCAGCAAGCACAACACGGCAGGCCTGACCATTGCTGTGACTTGTTCACCAAGTGATCACTGTCCTCCAAGACAACTACTTTGCAAGATAACCAGAGCTAGTGTAGGAACTGAGTGACTGACTACATGTTGGAGGGTGGGAATTGGAAGAACAGAGACTTGACTGTGAGGTCTTGCATTTAGCAACCACAATGACAAGTGTGGTAACTAATCAAGGAATATAAAGCTTCATTTCACTGTATCAGTAGGTTCCTCACTGAGGAATGCTTCAGCCCCAGGTCCTTCTGCACTTTGGCAGTACTCATGCCTCCTACTACGTGTTTATAGCTCAAGCTTCTACAGTGTAACTGGTGTGGAATCACAAAACTACCACTACAAAGATACTCTTAAGATACTAATCTATTAGGAGCTGGAAGCATCTTTTTTTATTGAACACTACAGGCTAGTGTAACCTCTTCCATGATGGAGCCATCAACTTAGATGGATGCTAGCATCTAATTAACTGCAAATTTGTCCAGGGCTGAAGCCTTTCGGTCTCAACTTTCAGGACAACTGCTAAAACCCAAGATCAGTAGCTCTTAAATTTCCAAACTCTTAAATTGAACTTAAACTTTTTTCAATAGATATGAGAACATGCCGGGTAAATGAAATCAGCTGTGGTCCTCAGTCAACCCAGTGTATCCCAGTGTCCTGGAAATGTGATGGTGAAAAAGACTGTGACAGTGGAGAAGATGAAGAGAATTGTGGTAAGGGAAGAAACAGTGGCTGCATAACTCTATTTGAAATTGACTTGTCTGGAAAGAAGCTAGCTGAGCAGTATACCTGGAAAGATAAATTTCTCATAGTATCAATATCTCCTTAAGCCTACACTCATCTTGTATCATGCTTATCAAAGCGGACTTGTTCCAACACTCCTCTCTGTCCTGCTGAGTTAAGAACTACAGCAGTATAAGCTATTCAACATCTGTCTTTGGTCTTTGGCGAAGTTTGGCAATAGCCATATGCTTAGTCACATGTCAGGCAAACCATCAGAACTTGCTCTCTGCAGTTTCTCAACAGGTAACTCTAGATGCTGCTTACATTAACAAATCATCTCCTAAAACTGTAGTAGTGAGTTGTAGCCAAGGGCACAGTTGATCTGCTTTATAGACCTACCCTGGAGTATTCTCTGGGCTTGTCTGGAAGTGCAGTCTAGGGAAGCTGTGTTTCAGGTGGTGTGGGGCAACTTCAGGTCGGTATGCGAGTGAGGCTGTCTCTGCCAGCATTAGTGTGCATCATTCCTGGCTTGTCCTAACAAACTTGCTTACCTGTGAGTTGTCTGAGGTGTCCTGAGACAAATTTGCTGAAACCAAAGCCACAGGTCTGACTTCCATTGGAGCCACCTTACATGGAGGGGCTGACGAGACATAGATCTCCAGACTTCTGCTGTGTGTCTGTGGAGTCGCCTTACTCACCAAGCATCTGCAGACAGCATTTCTAATGAAGCTGATAAAACTATCAGCCTAGGCATACTGAGCTGCTAGCTACACTGCTATTAAACCAGCATAATTTGTATTGGTGTAAGTTGTGTGGATGTACTTAATACCACAGGATCAACTGGTGCAAGATCCTGATATATCCCCAGTGGTCCAGGCAAATGGGCAGCTGCTGTCCTGGTGACCAGCACAAAACACTTCAATTTCAAACTACAGTGCATGCTGACCATCTGGCTACCTTAATTTTAGTCTGTACTCCAGAGTTAGCAATTCTCTTACCTTCTGTCTCTGGTTCACAGGGTTTGAGCCTGTTTTCTGAAAAGCTTGCGCTCTGAAGCAGAACAGTCTAGCTGCTTGAGAAGGAGGTTATTTCCACTCAGTATCTCGAAACTGATGCCTCTCACTTATAATTTCCAAAGGCAAGGAAGAGAGTCTGTGTGGGGCCCATGTGTCCTGTCGGTGGGCAGTTGAGTTCTCCTAGAGCCTTATACAGGATGCTGATCTTCTCTCAGCTAACAGCTGATGAACCACCTGCAAAGCAGAACACCTTCATACAAAAGCCTGCTGCCTTGTGATAATCTGCTAATCTCTCTTACTCTTTTTACTCCAGGCAATGTGACCTGTAGTGCAGCAGAGTACACATGCAGCAGTGGGCAGTGTATTTCCAAGAGCTTTTTCTGCAATGGTCAAGATGACTGCAGCGATGGCAGTGATGAGCTGGAGTGTGCACCTCCTACCTGTGGAGCTCATGAGTTCCAGTGCAAGACCTCCACTTGCATCCCCATCAGCTGGGTGTGTGATGATGATGCGGACTGCTCTGACTACTCAGATGAATCTCTAGAGCAATGTGGCCGCCAGCCTGCACCTCCTGTGAAGTGCTCTACCAGTGAGGTGCAATGCGCCTCAGGTGAATGTATCCACAAAAAGTGGCGCTGTGATGGAGATGCTGACTGCAAGGATGGAAGTGATGAAATCAACTGCCGTAAGTTAACTTGGTCCTTCTCTGGGAGGTGGTGGTTGGCTCCTGTTTTATTTTCTTTCGTTCAGCAGACCTCAGGAGTTTAAGTCTGTAATGGCTGTGTCCTCAGCTTCTCGGACCTGCAGACCAGACCAGTTCAGATGTGAAGATGGGAACTGCATCCATGGGAGTAGGCAGTGCAATGGTGTGAGAGACTGTCTGGATGGCTCTGATGAAGCAAGTTGTAACAATGGTAAGCGTGGGACTAAGCAAGAATAAAGTTTTTTCAGAATATCTGTAGAAGCTGGTAGCTGCCCTCACAATCTTCATTATCTCAGTTATTCAGTGCTCTGGACCTGGCAAATTCAAGTGCAGAACTGGAGAATGCATAGATGTCAATAAAGTGTGTAACCAGCAGAGAGACTGCAAGGACTGGAGTGATGAGCCCCTGCAGGAGTGTAGTAAGTGGACAAACTCATTACACAGTGCTGACCACTAGACATACTTAGATGGAGCTTCCAAGCTGTCAGATGTCAGTCTGGAATGCCCATCTGCACTTCCGTGGTGGCAAACAAACAACCAAGAGCAACCTAGTCAATAGGCTAGTTTTATCCCAGCCAAACCGGCTACTGGGATGACTTCTTCATGGTCAGAAGACAGTTGAGGGCATTAGAAGCTCTGAAACTTCCAGGAGCCTCAATCTTTGTCTGCTGCTGCCAACTTGTAACACAGGTTAACATGTTGATAGCTGAGAAAATATGAATTTGAGGAGGGTCTCTTGCATGTGATTTCAAGTGTCAGAGTGGTTTATCAAATGTGGCAAGCAATCATTAGAAAATGGGTGGGTTATGTGGTAAAGCAGTCTGTGACTAAGACTTTAAGACTAAATATGTGTGCTGTCTCAGAAGTGGCCAATTCTTTTCTTCTAGACATAAATGAATGTCTGGTGAACAATGGTGGATGCTCTCATATCTGCAGAGATCTTGTTATTGGCTATGAATGTGACTGTCCAGCTGGGTTTGAGCTTCTAGACAGGAGAACCTGTGGAGGCAAGTATCAAGCAGGTTAACGCGGATCCTGCTGATGGTATTAGAGATGAGAACAAATTAAATTGTTGTCTTTACAGATATCAATGAATGCCAGAACCCTGGTATCTGCAGTCAAATCTGTATCAACCTGAAAGGGGGCTACAAATGTGAATGTAGCCGTGGCTATCAGATGGATCTTGCTACTGGAGTGTGCAAGGCAGTGGGTGAGTATTGGCATAAGACTTCTATATCCCTACTTTAAAATGTGATAGCAAGTGTTGTACTGTTTATGCTGTTGTAGTTTTGACACTAGTTGTTGTGCTGTTATCAGTATAACTTGTACAGACCTGAACACTCCTAACATTCTGATGCCATGATACAGTACTTAAAGCTGCCTGACATAAACTCCTTGTGTCCACTTCCTGGGCAGGAGGACCCTCCCCATCAGGTTGTGGAGGGAGAAAAGGGTGAGGTATGGGACAGCCAAGACCTCTGTCAGCATCCACTGGCAAGTGTGGAATGGCAAACACTAAATATGATGACTCTCAAAACTTGTTATAAGAACAGTATGTGATTGTGTGTCTAGAAGTACTGATAACACATTGTTTTCACAGGGAAAGAACCGTGTCTAATTTTCACCAACCGCCGGGATATTAGGAAGATCGGCCTTGAGAGGAAAGAATACATTCAGCTAGTAGAGCAGCTACGAAACACTGTAGCTCTAGATGCTGATATTGCTGAACAAAAACTTTACTGGGCTGACTTTGGCCAAAAAGCAATCTTCAGGTAAGTGGTCAGAACTTCTGAAGGCCTAAACCATCCCCCATTTTATCTGAGATACTTCTGTGGGCTGTGGTGATGAGAATTAGGTTTGTGATATCCTAAAGACAAAGCACAGTAGATTCAAGTTCCCACAACTAGCAAAGTGTATGCCTGTTGTACTTCCTAGTAACTGCTGCTACAATTGTACAAAAGGCATTCTCTGGAAAGTTACAAGTGCATCTTCTGCATTGTCTGCATGAGATCTGTGTGCGGTATACCAGGTGGTACTATCTGTGGAGGAATGTGTTGAAAGCGAGTAATTATTGTCTTCCAGTGCCTCTATTGATACCCGTGATAAAGTTGGAAGACACGTCAGAATTCTGGACAACATACACAGCCCTGCAGGAATTGCTGTTGACTGGGTTTATAAGAACATCTACTGGTCTGACTCAACTGCAAAGACCATTTCAGTGGCTAGCCTAGATGGCACAAAAAGAAGGGTTTTGTTTCTCTCTGAGCTGAGAGAGCCAGCTTCTATTGCTGTAGATCCTCTCTCTGGGTGAGTGTTTGTCCTGGTTCTCTTAAGAGCGGACCTACAAGCTACTCCATGTCCTGATAACTGACTTAGGTAGCCTTTGTTAGTTATTGGTCATAATAAAGAGTGATACTACGCAGTACTATAGTGCATCATACAACATAAATTCTGCTTCACAGCTTTATGTACTGGTCAGACTGGGGTGAGCCAGCAAAAATTGAAAAAGCAGGAATGAATGGATTTGACAGACAGCAACTTGTGACAACAGAAATCCAGTGGCCTAATGGAATTGCTCTAGGTATGTTGAACTTGTCTCTGTGCCAGAGGTATTCTGGAGCTCTAGCAATTTGTTTGCTACAAAAGCCAGGATCATCCTTCAGAGAACTATTTTCAGCTTCTGAGAATGGGAAGTTCCTGCATGCCTGGAGACACTGCAACAGGCAGATAGCACTTCTCAGATACTGAAATGGTAACTTTTTTTGCACTGCTCTATATTATAGTTGAGGCACAGGCCACTTAGGGAGCACTGCAGCAGTCTTCTGCATCCCAGTGTGGTAAGAAACTAGGGCAACACTGCAACTATTCTTGAAGCTATGGGTGTTTCAACTTCTGCAGGAGGCTTTGGAGGTTTTCTACATGTAGATAGTAAATATGATTGGGGTTTTTTGCCTTCTAGATCTTGTAAAAAGCCGTCTGTACTGGCTTGATTCTAAACTACATATGCTGTCAAGTGTGGACCTGAATGGCCAGGACCGTAGAATTGTGCTGAAGTCTCATATGTTCCTTCCTCATCCTCTTGCTCTAACAATATTTGAGGTAAGAATGGCTTCTTGTAATAATTGTGAAAAAGCCCCTTCTTGCTAGTATGTGGCTAGCAATTATGGTGCTGATGGCAACACAGGGGTAATGGGATGCAATGACTGTCTTCTAGGACCGTGTGTACTGGATTGATGGAGAGAATGAGGCTGTCTATGGTGCCAACAAATTTAGTGGATCTGAGTTGGTTACACTAGTGAACAACCTCAATGATGCACAGGACATCATTGTGTATCATGAACTTGTTCAGCCTTCAGGTAACTAATGCAGTTTATAGTTGTGTCGGCCTATACTTGTAAGAGGCCTGCCTTGCTTTGGTGGTGTCAAATGGCACCCCTCCCCTGTATAGCTGTCTCCTTCATTAATGCTCAGAGCTTCTAACATAGGCACCTCCACTGGCTGAGAGATCTAGTTGCAATTCCTCTTTCTTAGGCAGACCAGGTACAAATCTATAACCCCAGTGACAAATAACTCTACTAGAACAATTATTGAGCAAATAATTATGCTATACATCTGGAGTATGAGAGCTTACTCCTGTCAATTGCTGTACCAACAGGCAGGAACTGGTGTGAAGAGAACATGGCAAATGGAGGCTGTAGCTACCTGTGTCTGCCTGCTCCTCAGATAAATGAACATTCTCCAAAGTACACTTGTGCGTGTCCTATTGGATACTACTTGCAGGAGGATGGTCTGAAATGTGCAGGTATGGTAACATGACTGAAATATCTTTCATGATGGATGGGGAAGGAGTAGTACTGAACCCATTGGAGGCAAATATGGCTGATAGCTTTGCATGAGTTAGTCTGATGTAATTAATCTCGGGGGGGTGATCTTCTATCATGCGTTAAGATGTCCCTCAAAGTCTGCAGGTGCTGTTCAAAGTCCATGCTTGGCTTCTGCATCATCATCATTTGCAACAAGATCTTGTACATTCATGGCTTTCTGCAGACAGCAAGCACATGCACAAAACATGCTGAGCCCCACCTCTTACAAACCAAGGGGTATAAACTAACATAGCTCTACGGTATATAAATACAGTGTTGAAAAGCTGATAAGCTAATCTTGCTGGCCAGGGAAGCTTGTTTGGACCTCCTTTCATGGTCCAAACAAACATGCTGCTGCTACTGCCCTTAGCACTGGCTATATGGCAGGCTTGTTTGCCCAGTGGAGTGGAACTAGAAACTCCAAGCTGTCACTATATTGCATGTGGATTGTGACTGCCACAGTTGGAGCAGTGAATGCAAGGATGCTGTCCTCAGTTGTCTGCTCTAAGAGGTTGGTATAGGTATTAAAGACTGTGTCTACCCAGTAAACTTGTGGAAATAAAATCTCACTTAGAAAACATGAAGTGGGGGATGGGGTAGTTTACTGTTATCATGGCTCTCAATACATGTAATTCATGCCAGATTAACTGTCTAGCCTTGTTCTTAGAATTACTTTTGATCAGAAACAGTTAAGGATGTGCCAGTGAAAGGGCTGTCAGTGTTTCCAATAAAGGTAACAAGCTGCATGATCATTCTGCCATCTGCTAAACATTCACTACCATGGCTCTCATAGCTAAACTGTTGCAGAACTTCAGGATTAACTGGGTTCTTGATCTATAATTAGTTTCAGGTACTGGAACAACTGTGGCTTACACTGAGGCTAAAGATACCAGCACAACAGAAAAATCTCCAACTGTTGGACTAGTTCCTGGAGGTACTGGTCCCAATAACTCAGACTGATAAACATTAGAGAAATTAAATGCAAACTGACCCACTAGCCTACTTGAAGTTTTCTCCTTTGCATGCAAGTAGAGGACACAGGCTGGGTCGTGTGTAGTACAAGTACAACAGCTGGAGCATGTGATAAGCAGAATTAGTTCGCTTATGACGGTGTGGAACCTATAGGTTCCATGAAATCACAGGAGGGCTCAGAGAAGGCAAGCAATAAAAATGCTTTCTACTAATATAGGATAAAGCCTGTTAGGCTGTTCTTGCAGTGTGTTACTGAGAAGCTAATATATGACAGCAGCTTCTGGGCTTGGGAAGTGCTTGCATCTGACAAAGTCCACCAGCCGGTCAGTGAGCAAGCTCACTACTTCAAATTCTTGTATAGGAATCAACATCAGTGGTGGAACATCTGAAGTATCTGCATCTGGAGGAACATCAGCAGCTTGGACTATTCTTCCTGCCTGTGAGTATAGAAGTCACTAGCCTTTGTGACCCCGTGTAGTGGGACAAGCCAGTCTTAGGCTTGACCGTACTCCATACTTGCAATCTCTTTCTCTCCCCAAAGTATTGCTGGTGATGGCCGTAGTGGTTGGCTGCTTAATGTGGCATAACTGGCAGCACAGGAACATGAAAAGCATGAATTTTGATAATCCTGTCTACCTGAAAACTACAGAAGAGGACCTCACAATTGATGTTGGAAGACACAACAGTTCAGTAGGACACACCTACCCTGCAGTAAGTAAACCTATTGATGTGTCTGAGGCTCCGGGTTAATCCTCAAAGTAGACATAAAAACTGCTGAATCATACCTGACTTGAGTTTGGGAGAGGTGTCTGCTTTTGAAAGCTTCTGACTGCAGCCAATCCACTGGGCTGAATCAGCTGAGAACTTGTCCTTTAAATCAAGGTTAAAGTTGTAGGCAACTACTGTCCTATGCCTGGGATGGAATTATCAGTGCTGAATGTGGTCCCTAGCCTGCAGAACTAGCCCCTGTTTCAGACCTGATGTGTAGTGATGTTATGCATTGTTTTTCACCTTTTATTAGTACAGTTGTAGCTAACTTGTACTTATTTTGTACAGATATCTGTTGTAAGCACGGATGATGATATGGCATGAGCGCTGGATCAACAATCACTTCCAGTTTACTTGTGTTTTACACTCTTTGGGGATAGTAACCAGGTTTGTGGCTGAAAGAGTTCCTCCATTCTTGGAAGAAAGAAGATACTTTCTGTATGTATGGAACACTTATGTAAATAGATATTTTATACAGCTTAACAACAAACTGTAAATACCTGTCCACAACAATTCAGCTTTTAGTGGTTACTGTTTTATCAGTAACCCTTGGATTGGTCAGTCAGTAACACCACTGACCAAATATAAAGCACTTTCCATAGAAAGCCATGTTCCAGCCACAACTTGTAACACCTGTACATATGTGTATAGGCCACTTGTAAATACTATTCTTGGAAAATCACTACCAAGCACTTTGAAATACTTCAAATGTAAATGATTGTACACTGTCTTTTTCAATGATTGGGGCAATGGCAATAGGAAAAAACGGGTTACTATGATTGCCAAAAATTTGTAAGCATAAGTAATTTTGTAAGTATGATTGAAACAATCTTGCCTGTTACCTCTTAGGGGTATACAGCTATAAATGCTCTTTAAGAAACCACTGTAAATCTTAAATGTGGAAAAGGGGAAAATAATTAAAATATAAAGCATTTAAAGCATTGGTCTCTGTTACTGTTAACACTGAAGTAAAATAGAGTATCTTCTAAGTTGGAAGCTTCACTGGGCTACACTACTACTACCAGCCAGAGCATGAAGTATTTCTTAAGTTATATTAGTAGTACCCCAGACTGCTAAGACAGTACTGACCTGCCAGGTGACTGCGGTTTGTACTTGAGAGTAATACTCTGCAGGGTACTGGGCCAAATGGGTCTCCTTTCATAGGGGTCCAGCTGGACTCCTAAGTTAGGATAGACAGTGGCTAAAAATACTCAACTACTTTTGCAAGCTCTTAAGAGCTACCATTGGCAGAGTGTGGGGACAGGTCAGAGCATTATCTGCCATTTAAGTGTAAGGTCCTTGCAAAGGATGTTATGCACAAACTCACAGTGATGTCAAGCCATTAGCAGCTATTCCTCATGACAAGACACGTGAAAGTTGGATGCTGGTAGCTGCTACACCTGTACAAAGGAGTAGCAGAGCAGTGACTTGGCAGCTAATCATAGCAGCCTGCTCCTGGAGTCTTAGTGCTGAAAAGCCCCCATTGCTACACCTGTAATGACAAAAGTCCACTGCAGTGAGCATCAGTGAGCTAATGTCCCCTTCCCTGTGGGAACTCAATTCATTGTAATGGTTCTAAGACACTGATCACTTGAAGTGCTGGAGCCTTTCTCTTGGGTGGCCACAGGAATGAACAGTAATTTGTAAACTGTTCTGGGTCCAGGAAGGTGGTATTTGTATTGGTACCTGTTTACCGTACTACTTGAGTGCTGATTTTAGTAGCACCAGGTATGTTCCTTATCTACGGTACATGTATAGTTCATTCATGCAGTAGGAAAGGATTAAGACTGAATTAAAGTGCAGATTCTGTGGTCTTCAGCCATTTTGCTCTGTGATCAAGTTTGTAGTAAAGAAGCAGCTTTTGATCTTTATGGCATAACTACTTGGTAGTCTCCAACTGAGTAAAGGTAGCTTCCCTAGCCATTAGTAGTTTTCTTAATGATAAGTCATTTTTCTGGGATAAAGTCATGGTTTCTCCCCTGACACTGTAGGATCTTGGCCTTGTATTACCACCCCAAAACTACTGTAGCAGGAGATGCTACTTCACTGTTGCTAATCCTTTCCTCTTCAAGATGAAGAAGAACTCACTTCTGATTGGACGTAGATTCAAGGTTAAGACATAGTTTGGAAGAAGCAAAAATCTCCTGGCTATGCTTTAGTGATGACTTGTTAAACCATTCTTAATCAATCATGTCTCTAAAATAGTAACAATAAAAATCATTGAGTCAGAACTTGGATCAGTTCCTGGGCTTGGTTCTAATGCCTGTTCTCATTGCAGTTACAGCTGGGGTCTGCTCTCTTAATGGTCTTCTGTGTACTGTGGGCTCCTTTCTTGACAGATGAGGACAGCTGCCAACTTCTGCAGATTTAAAATAAGTTGTTTCCAGCAAGCTCAGTACTCCTTGGGGAGTTGAAGCTTCTAGCCAGCTATCCCTGGCAACTCTTGTCTGTCTGTAGACTTTTTCAGTATCTGGAATGCATGTGGACTGAAATGTCTTGTGAAGATTAGGATGTAAGGAGACCTCTGAAGTTTCTGGCCAAGAATACTATAATTATTTTGCAGAGTACTTTATCCCAGAAAGTGCTTTTCATATCAGTCTAATCTGTAAGGATTATTAGTTACTGGATAGAATTCAACTTTTTTAGTTAGATGTCTAACTTGGGATACTACAAAGTGTTTGTGTTGAAATGTCACAAAACCTAAAACATAATTCTCATACATTTGCATGTCAGCTAATTACAGACAAAGTGCTCTGCCTTTTTACTATCCATACAGAAGATGAACAACTCTACTTTAGAAAAAAGTTCACTGCTGTCAGCAGTATCATACCAAATAGCATATGGAGTAGACCAACGAAAACACTTCTTCCTGAGGTTAACATTCAGTTGAAGTAGCAACTTAAATCTATTTTGGGAATCTGAGTTAGTTCTTACAGAAAGTGTGGGTTCTGGGAACTTGTTTTCTAACTTCAGTCCAATGTGCTGAACAAAGCTATCAGAATAATAACTTGGCACACAAAAGTAGTTTCTGTAGTCTATAGGAGACTTAACACTTTAGCAGATAAAACATCCATGCCTTCAAATAGCAGGAGGGAGGAGTGAGGACTATCAGGCAGTAGCAGGAGATGGTATAAAATGGCCTGTACTTAGTTGCAGATGTTGTCTGGCTCTCAACCTCACTAGGTTTATTCTGCCATACCCCTCTTTGGTTTTGTATTATGAAATCGGTGTTTACTTCCACAGGAGGCTTGGAGAGTAGTCAGGGATTCCTTCTGTAAGAGCAGATCCAACCTGCGTAGACAAATGCCTTACTATCTTTGAACAATTTTTTCTTCCCCTGCTGTCTGCAAGTGTTTGACTGTTTTATTGCTCTGTCATGTGACTCTTGGCATCTACTGAAGGTGGTATAGCTGTACTAAGCACTCCTGCAGCAGCAGCATGTGGTTTTGATGGTGACCACTAAATGAATTCTCAGAGATCATCCTTGTCCCAGCTCCTCTGCTGCAGTCTCATGGGCTCCCAGAGGAATGGGACATTAATAACCTGATTGGTCAGGTTTTACTGTTAAGTTGACTTTGTATTTGACTTGAAGAACTTGATACTAATAGATAGATAAACATGGCTTTAGTTGCTTATTGCAGTAGTATTGAAGGTAATGACATAACTTTTGCTTCCCAGCTGAAGGCAAAGCCATCTGGTTCTAAATGCTACCTATTTCTGTTCAGTGTCTGCTAGCTAGTGTGAGCACAAAGCTAGTTTTGAAACTGGCTTTTTCTCTCCCTTAAATTTTAATATTTGTTTCTTAATACTGTCCCTCTGCTCTCACATTCTTTTCTGCCTCCTATTTGATCTGCCTTTGAGCAATAGTATAAAATATCTACTATGCCAGCAAAAACAGAGGAAAATGAACATAAAGGGAATTAGTCATGTGATTCACTTCTTTCCCTTCTGTACCTTGCTCTTTTACAGCTAGCTGCAGTGTGTCTTTTCCCAACCCAACCTGTATTTGCTTACATTTTTGATGGACATACCATTTGTTTTTTCCAAACAGATCTTTGCTGAAGCAGTGAAGATCCATTTATCTATTTTAGTGTAAGTTCTGAATCCTGGTCAGTTAAGAAAAAGGGACAGAGACAAGGACTCAGGCTGAAAGAAATAGAGTGGGAGATCCCAGGTAAAGGAAAAAAAGCTTACAGCTACAGAAGCACTCTTCACTCCATAACCTGGGATGAAAGTGTCAGTAATTTATGTAGGTAGGTAACAGCATGTCTGTGAAGAAACATACTCCTATTCTTCCTTTGAGCTGGCTCACAAGAATGGTTGGTATTGTCACTTATTGGAAGAAGGTACTTGAAGAGGTCTGATCCATTGAAGTGCAGAAGCTAACTTAATACATTCTTGACGTGCTGGTTTTCACTTTTTTCCTCCTGAAAAAGGTTCATGATTTGACCATATCAAATGAAAAGGTCTTAAGGACAGGGGAGGGACAGAGAGACTGTGAAATCAGTTATGCTGCTGACCTTCTGGACTGTTGAACATCCAAAATAAAGACCGCCTGGGGAAAGGATGATGGTCTTAATTATCCCTTGCACAGCCCTGGTAAGGACACTTACTCTGTTGAACAATGGGAAATGCTTCATATCATACATGGGGAAAAACAAGCACCATAAACTGAACAGAATACCAAAGGCTAACTTAACTAAGATGCTCTTTGGCTTATAATAGGAACATAGGAAACACTAAGCACTAAATCAAGACAAATGACTGATAAAAAAAAAAAAAGTAGAAATATATATATGTTTTACTGTACGGATGTCCTCTGTAGAAAAACTAGGCAGTTTTCAAGTCCTTTCACCTTCCCATGGCATGCTTTCTTGGAGTCCAAAATACATGGAAATTGAAATGTTTTACTGTACTGTCAGTGCATAGAATTAAAGCTCAAATAGTTGGATAGCAGCTTGAAAAGATTAACTTAGCATTCAGAGCAGTTGTTTCCCTCCAGTGGAAAGTATTTATTGTTGAGAGGTCTCTTGGAAGGGCTGATCTTTGAGTACAGCGAGTGCCATAACAATCTAGAACAGTGCTGCCTGCTGTAAGATCCCTTTTGTGGATATGTGCACACAAGAAGTGTTGGTTTTGTTTGGACAACTTAATACTTATTCCTTTTTTTGACCCTTAAATATACAAAACCACCTGTTCATTTAAGTTAAGATGTGGACTTTCTAATTCGAGGAAGGTGACCTGTGATTTTGTAGTTGCCAAACGTGTTACAGCTGCAGTTTTTAGCTCATGAACTCAGCACTAGAGTATGTGCTTTAAGAGGTGGTTCATTCCTCTCAGGCCTGGATTGAAAAGGTGTTTAGAAGGCTGTGTCTTATGGGGACTTAGAAGGATAAGTAACTTATTTCATGAGGGGCAGGTAAGGAAAAGGTTTGGTGTTCTTAATTTGATTTTTAGCTTCTTATCCCTGCATGCCAAAGTACTGATATCACTGTGGTAAAATTTAATGGATATATTCAGTCATGTGAAACAACTCAACAGCACTGATGAACATATCAGAAACAGTCTGCATAGAGTTACCAAGGGTTGATCACACCCTACCAACCTGCTTGCCTTCAACACTGTCTTTCACAATATTCTGTCTGAATTGGAACATTACAGCCTACATAGGAGACCAACCAGGTAGATAAAAACTGGTTGAATACTTGGGGTCTGAGGGTTGTGCTCTACCTGGAGATGGATAATAAGTGGGGTACCACAGGGTCTATCCTGGCATGAGTTCTGTTCAACATCTTTATCAGGACCCTGAGAAGCACATGGAGGATGCGGTGATCAAGTTTGTAGAGGACACCAAATAGGTGGTGGGGGCAGAACCACTCAGTACACTCAAAGAGCTGCTGTCTTGGGGGCACTTGCACAGGTGCGAGGGAGGGACTGA